AGAGAATAAACGTAAAGGGATTTTAAAAAATTTTACTTTCTATGTTCGATTTTTGTGGATTAGGAAGCAGGGGCAATTTGGTCAATTTCATGGTGAATGTGATAAAACGGTTGAGATAGGGTTGAACTCTGATAGGAATTGGGCTCTGGTTATATCTCAATGCTATTGCAGAATTTTTTGTACTGGAGGATTAATTAGCAAGGGCATAATGGGAACTTTTAATTTTTTCAAAGTGTTATGGTTCTGGTTCGTCCAGAGAGATGGTGGGGATAATGCGCTTTATACTTGGCAGGCCTTTACAGATGTTCTTTTTGAATGGTTTCTTAATTCTTGGGGTCAGGGGCATTTTGGTCAAAAGGTGGAGGTTTTGTTCATCCTCATTTATTCAGAAGGTTTTTTTTGGGGTGGAGATAAAATGATGATCAACCATAGCAAGTGTAATTGGAATTTGGTCTCTGTTATGATGAAAGGGCAAAATTGGAATTATTGGTTAAGGATGAATTCTATTGCTATTAATGGAGTTATTCTTCACTATTTGTATAAAGGAATTGACGGGCATGGGATTTTTGTCATTTTTTCCCTTAAAAATGAATTGCTTCTCGGTTTGATCCCGAGTTTCATTTGGTTTTTACCTTATGAAGTGGATTTAATTCATATACATTTGGGCTTTATGCCTAATTGTTATGAATTTACGCCTTGGAAACAAGGTGTTTTTATACAAGGATTTGACAGATTTGGGATTTTTATCACTTTTTCCCTTAAAAGTGAATTGCATCTCGGTTTGATCCCGAGTTTCATATGGTTTATGCCTCATGTTGTGGTTTTAATTCATATACATTGGGGTTTTTTCCTCATTTGTTATGATTATCCGACTTGGAAACAAGGAGGGTATATTCATGGAATAGACGGATTCGGGACTTTCATCATTTTTTCCCTTAAAGTGATTTTCCGCCTTGGAAACAAGGTGAGTATAAACAAGGAATTGACGGTTTTGGGATTTTTATCACTTTTTCCCTTAAAAGTGAACTCCCGCCTTGGAAACAAGGTGTGTATCTAAAAGGAATTGACGGATACGAGATTTTTATCACTTTTTCCCTTAAAAGTGAACTTCGGCCTTGGAAACAAGGTGTGTATATCAATGGAATTGACGGATACGGGTTTTTTTTATCACTTTTTCCCTTAAAAGTGAAACCCCCGCCTTGGAAACAAGGTGTGTATATTCAAGGAATTGACGGTTTTGGGATTTTTATCACTTTTTCCCTTAAAAGTGAATTTCCACCTTGGAAACAAGGTGTGTATTTTCAAGGAATTGACGGATTCGGGATTTTTATCACTTTTTCCATTAAAAGTGAATTCCCGCCTTGGAAACAAGGTGTGTACACTCAAGGAATTGACGGATATTTGCTTTATAATTTCGATAGAGATGAGGATTTCTTGAAGATTTTTTTGAGGTTTTTTGGAATCAATGATATTTGGAAGGCTTTATTGAAGATTTTTTTGGAGATTATCGATGTGCATAAAAGATGTATTGATGGCAAGAGTTCTAAAAATTTAGTTATTTTGGCTAGGATTGGTTGGAATTTGGATGTGGATTTGTTTATTGGTGTAAAAAGAAAAAAGGCTTTTGAGATTTGGAAGATAGATGATAAAGGAATTAGTGGGGTTAATAATTTGGCTATTTTTAGCGTTTTCCTTTTGAAGTGTATAAAGAAGAATAAAGATAGAAGGGTGGAAAGAAGAAAGAAGATTGCTATTATGGATATCATTTGGAATTGGAATTTGGATACTATATACATTTTTTTGTGGATATTTTGGGACAATCCTTTTCATGGGTCTTGTGCTAATTTGGACATTTGGATGTGGAGCATACATAATGAACACAATTTTGAAGAATTCGAGAGAAGATGGCGATTTCAATTCGTGTTGAAGTGGAGGCTTGAAGACCACTCCGGGCTGTGGAGTTGGAATAAAATTAATTGTCTTTTCTTTGTTTATGTTGTTGGTAGGGTTAGCCTTTGGTTTTGGTATTTACGTGATGTTTGGATTTTGTTCATTTTTGGGGTTGTCCAAAAATGACATAACTCTTGGTTTTCTTTTCTGAATCTATAAAATCTTTGCCGGGGCTTTGGCCTCTTTCCCAAAAAAAAAAAAAACCCTAAACCCTAAACCCTAAACCCCAAACCCTAAACCCCAAACCCTATTCCTAAACCCTATTCCTAAACCCTAAACCCTAAACCTTAAACCCTAAACCCTAAACCCTAAACCCTAAAACCCTAAACCCCAAACCCTAAACCCTAAACCCTAAACCCTAAACACTAAAACCCTAAACCCTAAACCCTAAAACCCTAAACCCTAAACCCTAAACCCAAACCAAACCCGTTTCTCTCTCTTCTCTGGTGATTTTGGCGATTTACCGTTTTTTCCTTCGTTTTTCCGGCGCCGCTTGCTCCGCTGGTGACGGATTAGCTCGAGACTAGGCTTATACTGTTGGTCTCCTCTTCCTTGTTCTGTGGATACCGTTTTTGATGATCTCATGAAAGGGGTTCCTCCTGATTTGGAACCCGATGTCATTATGAAAAGAAAGGGGAAAAATGCGAACTCGAGAAATAAATCGAAATCCGATTCTGGTGAAGGTTCTAAGATGCCGATTGATCCTTTGAAAGCTAAATCTGTCTCTCTCCTTATCAATAAGTTTGAATCTGAAGTGAAATCGCCTGTGTACAAAGGATTGAGTGATTTGAGCAATTCCGATTATTCTAGATCTGGATTGAATTTATCGGACTCTTCTTCTGTGTGGGAAATGATGCGATTCAGTCTGAGATCAAGGGCTCGGGTTCGTTAATTGCTTCTGAAGGTGGTGTGATGGGATCGAATGTCCCTTATAGTTCTATTATTGCTGATTTCGCTGGTCCTTCAGTGGTTTCCCCTGTCTTGGGTAATCCAATTAAGAAGGAGGATGGATTGAATGTAGGATTAACCTCCCCTGTGATTGAATTTGAGAAAGTCATTGCTCAATTCTGCTGTCCTGGAGAGAAGAATGCGATGATGGTTTTTTGGAATTGTTTATCTGCTAGTGAGAAGGAAGGATTCGTTCATGGCCTCAGATTTACGAAGAAGAAGTATAACAGTGGTAGTGATGCTGAAAATTCCATTGAGGATTCGATTGATAATATTAAGAAGATCTCATCTGTCAGTCAGAGGAATGAATTGCTTTTAAATCTGGAAGCATCTCAGCAACAAGAAGAAGGAGAAGGTTTTCCACAAGCTCTGCACTAGCAAAATTAAAAAACAGGTTGAAGCTAATTTTGGTAAGAACAGAATCCCTTTTAAGTCCTCTTCTACTTTGTTCCCTGTTTCGATTGAGATGAAGAGATCTTCTGAGTTTGAAGCCTCTGTTGGATTGAAAAAAAGTTGGGGAAACAGTTGTTAGCTTATTGCCAGAGGGCATTCCTGTTTCAGAAGATAATGAGCCTGTTGCTGTTGATTTGGGGGAAATTTGCTCTATGCAGGCTTTAGCTAAGGTTAAGAAAGAGAAAGGAAAGTTTGAAATTGATGAGATGGTTAGCAAGCAGTTGGAGGAGGTTTGCAATAATATTGTTTACCATTTTCCTAGTAAATTCAGTCATTTGGACATTGTGAATGAAGGTGAATTCAAATTTAATTATGTTGATGAAGAGATTGAAGGCAAAGATGGAAAAATGGCTGTTGATGATAAAGTGATTCTTAAAGAAAATGCTAAAAATAACAATGGTGGATTGCTTATTTCTGATGTAATGTTGGAGAATGCTAAGTTTGGTAAAGCTCAGGAGAAGATTGATCTGCCACAGCCTAATCCTATTGGAGCCGATTCTATAGTGGGGGAGCAAGTTTCGTATGCTAATAAGGTGAGTGGGAAGAAGCTCAATGCTGCTAATTTGATTTCTGTTATCAAGAAGGATCCCATCCTTCCAAAAGGAGTTGTAGAGATGCCTTATTGTGATATTTTAAAAGGTTGTAGCCCTTTTAAAACAACTTTGTATGGTTACTTCATTGATAAACATGTCAATTTTTTCAATGTTAACAAATTTGCTCATAACATGTGGAAATAACATGGGTTAGAGGAAGTCATGGTTAATGATGAGGGAGTTTATTTCTTCAGATTTAGTTCTGAGCAAGGATTGATTTCAGTTTTGGAAGGAGGTGTTTGGATGATTTTTGATAGTGCCCTTGTGGTTAGAAGATGGACTACAGGTGTGAGTTCTGTTAAGGGTCAACATGACAAAGTTCCGGTGTGGGTTAAAATTTTTAATGTCCCTCTTGAATACTGGAATGGAACAGGGCTTAGCCATATTGCTTGGGAAATTGGCAAACCTTTAGATGTGGATGCTCACACTGCTAGCATGTGTCAAGATCATTGGGGAAGGCCTGCATTTATGCGAGTTTTGATTGAAATGTCAGCTTCTAAGGATTGGCTTAAAGAAGTGCAAGTTTATTCGTCTGATTTAACCACAGGTGAAAGAATCTTGTCGAAATGCAGGATTGAATATGTTTGGAATCCGTCAAAATGCTCTCATTGCAAAGTTTATGGGCATAAAGATTCTAATTGTGGTATTTTGCTAGCTAAACAGGTTAAAGAAATCGAAACTAATAGTAAAGTGGAGGAAAATAAGGAGGGAGTTATAAAGTTGATTTAATGCAAAATTTAATGGCAAGCACAAAAAAGCTGAGTTAGATGGTGAAGGATTTCAAACTGCTAGTAAGAAAAATAAAGGGAATGCTGCTGGGGAAAAGTCGAAGGCTGAAACAGGGCAGATAAGTCAAAATATGAGGCAGGGGCAAAATGGGAAATCTTAGAGTAATGGGAAAAACCAGAATGGTTTTGGCAGTGGAAATCAGGGGATAAGGAAGAATAATAACAATAAATCGGATTTTCCCAATGGAGAAAATCAAGGAAGTAAAGGGAAAGGAATACAGGGGTATAATGGGAAAAGTAAGAATTTGAATGGAAGAGGGGTTGGATCTAATTTCGAACAGGGACAAAATAGTAAAACAAATTTTATGGTGAATAAAGGAAGTGGTTCAGGTGTCTTTATGGCTGATAAGGGTAATTTGGGAAGTATGGCCGAGAATCGAGTTTTACAGGAGAATAATAAGGAGGGAACGAATAATAGGGAAGTTAATATGCACTCTTATATTCCAAAATCTGGAATGGATTTCAAAATTAGTTCGAATTTTGACAAGAACTATCAAAATGTTAAGGGTGCTGCTCCTGTGAAGTCTTTTTTTAATAATCAGTTTGCGGTTTTAAATGATTTGGGTGATGAGAATCAATTTGTTTATTTGAAGAAAGGCATCGATGAGGCTGATCTTGCTTATTTGGATACTGTTGATCAAATGGAAGTTCTTGGAGGTGTCCCTGTGATTGACACCAACATGGAAGCAGGTCCCAATGGCGATTAGTCCTGGAGTTTGGAACTTTAGGGGATTTGTTTTGTCTCCTAAGCATAAAGACATAAAAAATTTGATCAAGTTGAATTTTTTGAGTTTATTAGCCTTTGTTCTTTCTTTGGTTTGGTGGAGGATTAAGTGCTACAAAAAGATTGAAGCCTTTGAAGATAATTTGAGTTGGAAGATTTTTGGGATTGATCTCATTGATCAGCCTTTCAAGAGCTATGTTTGGTTTCACTCTATTCAGTGGAATTGGACTTGGAAGTGGATTGATTGGTGTTTCATAGTTAGGCTTTTGCTTATTTAATTTTTTGTTCTCCTGGTTAGCTTAGTTGTTGCTTGTTAGGTTTCTTGTAGCTAGCTTTTTTGGGCGGTTGCCCTCTTTCCTTTTGTAATGGTTTTCTTTTTAATAAAATTTGCCAAGAGGTGTCCCCTTTTTCCAAAAAAAAACCCTAAACCCTAAACCCTAAACACTAAACCCTAAACCCTAAACCCTAAACCCTAAACCCTCAACCCTAAACCCTAAACCCTAAACCCTAAGTCATTTGCAAAAAAATTTCTCTCTCTAACTTTCTCTCTCTAAGATTCTCTCTCGAGTTTTTTCAGTTTTTGTGGGTGGCTCGGTGGTGATTTTGGCCGGTTGGAAGGCTTTGCCGGCGCCAGCTTCTCATTTCTCTGTCCGTCGTATCCTCCCTGACCTTTGTCTGCACTTTGTGTAGGTGAAGGGTTAATGTTTGGAAAAATCGGAAGCATGTTTGGAATGAAAAATTCAGATCCTCCTGATCCTAATCGTGAAAGCTTGTATGAAGATGATTTTGATGGTGAACCTGGCGCAGTTAGAAGAGGAAGAAGAGCTGTGCATCGGGAAATTTCTCCCTATTCTGGGGATAAACTTCCGAGATTGATGGAAAAAATTGAAGATAAGATCAAGCGCAATCAGGCTGAGAAGAAATTCCTGGATTCGAAATCTCCTATTGAAGGATTGAAGTGTGGTTTAAGACCTGGAGTCCATGAAGTAATCAGATATGGTTATGGCAAGGAGAATGTCGATCCAAATTTCATCAAATCGGAGCTTCAAGCTTTTGATAAAGCGATGGATGATGTGAAAAATTTGGAATCGTTGATGGCTTTTCAGGATAATGGAAAACCAAAAACGATTAATGAACTGGTTGAGGAGAAGGGATTTGTCCTGCTCCAAGTTACTTCTGATATGGTCAAGGGATTCAATTCTTCGCAGGATAAGGCTAGCATTTCTCATCCTTCGTCCCCTGTTCCTGTGAGTGATGCGATCAATGACAAGGGTATTTTGGGTAAGTCTCCTGTTATTCAAAATACTTCTATGAAATCAGTTGCTCCTTCTGTTACTGTTGCTAGTCCTGAGAAATTGTCGAAGCCTTCCATAAGTAGTAATGATGAAGTTATGAAAGACTTATTGAATGAGTATAAGAATTTGGGAGGTGATTTTGAAAATAATTTGAAGATAGAGCAGGGGGTTAACTTTTTGAATCTGAAATGGGATAAGGAAATGATGAATATGGATGATTTTTCTAAGCTAAAAATTTCTCAAGCAGCTAAAATGGTTAGTGATTATAACAAGAAGTCTTATGCTCGAATAGTTGAATCTACAAGCTCTGTGGTTGATTTTGTTGGATTAATGTCTAAGTCCATAACTATATTTGGTATGTACTTGACCCGACCCGGCATGGTCCATTTGGGTTGCACTTCACCGGCACAATTTATATGGATAGTCTTTTGAGAATAGTATATTTATGATTTATAGTAATATATTATAAGTTCTAATATATTAATATGGAATCATATTATTTAATTAGTATTGATCAAGAATTAATTTAGAATTAATTAAGTGATCAAAAAGAACTAATTAAATATGGACTCTTATATATATGGAATGGGCCAAGTTCATTTAGGTTGGGCTAAGCTTTCATGGATGGTCCATGGAGCTTTTAACCCATGGATCCTATGTAAATGAAAGGTCATGGGTATTAGGGTTTACATGGATGTAACCCTAATCCTCCATAATATATAAAGGGGTCCTTGGCTCACAAAATTGGCACAAGTGTGTGAAAATAAGAGTGGGCCGATTTTAGTGTGCATACATATTCTCTCAAGTTCTTCCAAGGTGTTTTGGTGATTTGTGATTCCATTTTAGGCTTCCACACTATTGGGGCTAAGCTCTTAAAGCTTGAAGACATCAAGCTACATCAAAAGGTATGTCATCTAACTAGAACTTTGTAGTATAGGTGCTTCATAATATGCTAGTTAGGATGAAACCTTGGAATAGTTAATATTTGCATGTCTAATAGAGAAAACATAGATCCAAGGTTTATAGGGTTGCATGTACACCATAGGAGTGTTAGAATGCTCAAAACCCAACAGTGGTATCAAAGCCAGTTGTTTTCTGTTATATTGATGCAAATGTTTATTTTCAAGTTGAAAAAAAAGGAAAAAAAAACCATGACGTTTGCCAAATTTTAAGATAATTACTTGTTTTGTGAAAAACGAATTATTTGTAAAATTTGAATCATTTGTTATATGAGTTGAATTAGGTCAAATTTAGTAAAAGATAAAATGATATGATTATTTTATTAGTTTTAAAAGTTTGATCTAAATGTTTAAGGAGTTACATATTTTGTCATAAAATTTTGGAGCTCAAAAGTTTTTTTTTTAAAGTTGTGATCTTAAGGGTTTTTGAAACTTCCATAAGTTATGGATATGAAGGTTTTTTTTAAAAAAAAAAAAATTTGATTCAAAGTTTTTATGGAGTTATAAAATTTGGTGTTAATGTTTTAAAGAATTCCATAACTTGTTCTTAAGTTATGGAACATGGAAAGTTTCATCATAAAACACCATTAATTCCATAAGTTATGGAATCCAAAGGTTTTTGTAACGCGCGTAGATCATGGCTAGTCAATTTAGAGACGATAAGCATCAAAAATGACTTTTTGATGGAAGATTAATTAGAAGGATTAATCTTAACTAAGTTATAGTATATGTTACAAGGATTCCGTACATATAAAGAACGCCGAAATCCGAGTTATAACGAAGAAGTTATGACTTGTCGAAGTTTCGCGACAGAACCGGCACGACACAGCGCGACGTAAATATTAAATTTACGTTAAAGCGATATTTGTCCTTAGCGATCTAAATGAAAGTCGTAGAATACGTTAAACCGAGAGCGTGCATAAAAAGAACGTCTAAATCTGACTTCGTATGAGGAAGTTATGATTTTTCGAAGTTTCAGCATTAGCAGTATGCAGCACGAAACTCGAGATTGAGGTCGAGCGATATTTAGCCAAAACTTTCTAAATGAGAATTGAAGATCTCATCAATAGTAGTCCAACGATAAAAAGACAGACGAAAACGGAGTTCAGATGAAGGAGTTATGAATTTCGAACGGAGTTTTCCTGTCCCGGCCTACTAAAAATAATATATTAATAATATATTAAAATTAAAGTCAAAATTAGCCAACAGAGTCTAAACGAGAGTTGTAGAGCATAATCTCACCTACGCGTGGATATAAAGAACGTCGAAAACGGAGTTCGTATGCGAAAGTTATGAATGTCTGAAGTTCGGGGCGCGAAACTCCAAAACTGTCAGAGTTCACGACGTGAATACAGTGTTCACGACGTGAACTCAGTATTTATGACTTCTGGAGCCTGACAGACGCAAGTGGCGATGACGTACCTGATGTCTATTGAATTCACGACGTGAGAACTTAAAATTCACGACGTGAGAGCTGAAAAATGACCCTATAAATAGAAATCGAGGGTCAGCCGATTTTGGTTGCTCTATCTCTTCTCTCCCACTCCCGATACTCTCTCTAAGCCCTATTTTAACCCCCCGAAGCCCCGGTATCATCCCCGAGACACGAAGCAAGTCCCGAAGCCCGAAGATCCCGAGAAGAAAAGAGTTTCCGAGCCGAAGCTCTGCCTGCGAGAAGCCCGGTGTGTGAAGATCTTCCAGTTTCACCAAAGAAGTACTACTCTTAGAGCCGTAGTGTTTGTCCGATCATCTTCTGATCAAGTGAGTGTATAGTCCCTTTCATAAACACGATTTTATTACAAGTATTGTTTGAATGTATTAAGTATATGTTTGGTGTGAGTGTGTAGTTACTTTCTTCTAACACATAAATATGAAGTATTTTCTATGAAATACGTGCTATGTGTTTATATATTGTTGTTTATTTGAGATGAGTGTGGAATAGATGTTTTGTATAGTTTTTAAATGAGTTAAACTGTATATGTATTTTATATCTACAAATATGTTGGGTAGAACATGGGTAGATGGAATAGTTGGTGTGTGATGAGAGATGATATGAGTAAACCCTGGTGACTATGAGACGTAGTGCCTATTAGATAAACCATGACGATGATGTGACTTCGTGCCTATTAGATAAACCTTGGTGACTATGGAGTTAGTGTATAAACCTTGGTGACTATGGAGTTAGCGCCTACTGTTAAGTAAACCTTGGTGACTATGGAGTTAGCGCCTACTGTTAAGCAAACCTTGGTGACTATGGAGTTAGCGCCTATTGTATAAACCTTGATGACTATGGAGTTAGCACCTACTGTTAAGTAAACCTTGGTGACTATGGAGTTAGCGCCTATTGTATAAACCTTGGTGACTATGGAGTTAGCGCCTACTGTTAAGTGAACCTTGGTGACTATGGAGTTAGCGCCTGATAGCTATGGATTTAGTACCTGATAGATAAACTTTGGCAGCAATGGACTTCGTGCCAATTCCTTAGGTCAATCCTTAGGAACAAATGAATAAAGGATAGTTGATTCTTAGGGTAAAACCTTAAGAAATAAAGAAGATAATGGGGATGGGTAATTGGGTTGATTGTTTGATGATTAAATATAATAATTATATTATTGTGGGTTGAAAACCCTATATGCTCACCAGGCTCCCAAGCCTGACCCACTCAGTTTTCGTTGCATTACAGGTAATGGCACAAGAGTATAATTTGGTGGACTTGACGAGAGATTTTGGATTATAGATCAGTAGTTATAAATAACTGTTGTAAGGTCTATTTTATACTGTTTATGCTTTTGGTCTGTATCGGAACATGACATCCCGAGATTTTGTTATTTAATGAAAATACAATCCTTTAAAGAAATGCTTTGATAAATTCTTATCACATTTTATTTTGGGAACAAATTCCGCAACTGTTTTCTGTAAACGATTACTCTGATTTTAAAACAAAACATAAACAAATCGGTCTTTTCTGGCCGTGAAAATGGGGATGTCACAGTTGGTATCAGAGCATTAGTTTAAGCGAACTAGGAATTTGTAGGATATTTCTAGACTTAAACTTAGAATGCTAAGTAATGATCGTGAGGAGTGTGTCTAAAATATTTTAGGTAGTACACCTAAATTGACACGAGCACTAGTTTATTTTAGGAAAGATGCCTAAAATGCCTTTATGTGCTAAATGCTATATGCTATTATTTGTTCGGATCTATGGTCTGTTGCCAAACCGGATCTGGAAATTTTATGTGCTCAGGTTTCTAAACGTCTAATTACGATATTAGAACTGACATGTAATTTTTCGAAGTAATGAGGAGGAATATGCGCCTAAACCTTCCTCTATCTATATTCTCGTCTCGATACATCGAACGACCGCTTTAGTGTGCAGAACATTATGGTGAAGACTCGTAGAGAACTGAGTAAATGGAGGAAATGAAAGGCTTATGATAGTGAATGACACCTATCGGAAGATATCGTAAGAGTGGTATCTTGCCTTTAGAATATGTCTGATAAAATGACGGAACGTTAGAGGAGTACGGTACGTCTGAAGTACACCTTCGATTGGCAGGATGATGGAGAGATTGGTGTAATTCTTGAGGTTGTCTCGTCACCCGGTATTTCCATCACCAATCGAGTTGAAGTAGAATTGATGATTGAAGATACGGAATGAAGAAGTCCTAGTAGAGTATAGGGAAATTGCTTATGATTATTTGGACACATTCGTATGTGTTAAATTGTTTTGTGATTTTAGGACTTGGGGACTGCGAGACAATACTTGGGACGAGTATGAGTAGGTGTGAAAGGTAGTAGATGCATATACTACCGGAAGCACATGACTCACACTTGGATCAGGGAAAGTCACAAGGTTACCAAGAAGCTAGTGATTGGTCTCGTTTTATTCAAGTATGTCGTTACCATTGTTTCGGAAGTGACTAACAAGATGATTGATATTCCGACCCTAGCGGTCATATCAAATTGAGTCCGACTACGATGAGTTTGTTACGTGGTTCATTGAACCAAGTTCGAGGTAGCATCTGACTCAAGTCGGAAGATTGAAATCAATGCGATCAATAGCATCGCGCTCGTTGTTAAGGAAGCTTGTAGCTAGAAATGCTACATGTAAAAATGTGATTATATCACATTAGAATATGAAGGAAGGTATATTCCATTCTGGAATTTGACTCTAAGAGACTTGAGTCTAAGCATTGCATCATACGATGAGAGGTCATTAGAACACGACCCATCGGTCTGTTACAATAGATAAAGGAAAGTACTTATCCTAAGAAGAAGAAGGAGTCCTCAATAAGGATTTATTTTGTAACTCGAAGGTTACGATTGAAAGTCCAACATAGTACGAAGAGCAGATGCAGGATTGAGCACTACCTGCTATCGAGAAGTCCAAGAGTTAGATACTCTTTCGAGGAAACATAGAAGTTACAGTTATTACCTAGGATGAAGAGATAACGTATGGAATCATTATACAAGTCCTATTTCGTTGATGATTCCGACACGTAATCATCCTAAGGGGGAGATAATTGTAACGCCCGTAGATCAGGGCTAGTCAATTTAGAGACGATAAACATCAAAAATGAATTTTTGATGGAAGATTATTTAGAAGGATTAATCTTAACTAAGTTATAGTATATGTTACAAGGATTCCGTACATATAAAGAACGCCGAAATCCGAGTTATAACGAAGAAGTTATGACCTGTCGAAGTTTCGCGATAGAACCGGCACGACACAGCACGACGTAAATAGTGAATTTACGTTAGAGCGATATTTGGCCTTAGCGATCTAAATGAAAGTCGTAGAATACGTTAAACCGAGAGCGTGCATAAAAAAGAACGTCTAAATCTGACTTCGTATGAGGAAGTTATGATTTTTCGAAGTTTCGGCATTAGCAGTATGCAGCCCGAAACTCGAGATTG